AACCCAAATGCCCATCAACTGGAGATTGGATAAAGAAGATGTGATTTTTCTATAAAATAGAAATACTACTCAGCCACAAAGAATGAGAAACTAGAAACATTTATAGCTAAATGGATGCACAATGAGCCTATAATCTTAAGTGAAATAAATAGGACACACAAGTAAATACCGAAAAGTTTCTCTGTTGTATAAAACTAAAAGTGTAAATAAAGTTCAAATGGTGTAACTGGGAGCATGAAATAGGAAGAAAATGGCTAAAGGGGAAGTGGGAAGGGGAGGGGAAAAATAAGGGAAAAGAAAAATGTGAAAAAAATGATAAAATGGAAATAAAGTCTTTGTAAATAGGGAAGGAAGGGAGAAAGGAGTGGAGGGAGGGTAGGGGGATGGGGAAAAAAACAAGAATGAAGATACATCATGTAAAGGTGCAGAATCCCAATGACGAATGTAACTGTATTGTTTTCTTTAAATGTGCCAATAAACTTAAATGAAAGGAGTGGAGGGAGGGTAGGGGGATGGGGAAAAAACAAGAACGAAGATACATCATGTAGAGGTGCAGAATCCCAATGACGAATGTAACTGTATTGTTTTCTTTAAATGTGCCAATAAACTTAATGAAAAGAATGATATTGAAAATGTTATATATGGGGTAAAGTGCCATTTTAATTTCAGAAAAAAATGGTTAATCGCGTAGATCATTAAAGCTATTTGTATTGTTTAAAAGAAAATTTGCATAGAAAATAAAAATACATTCCCACTATCATTGGGAGATTTAAAACCGGATGCCCTCCAGTAGGATGGGAATACAGAGTATTATAAGTACTACAAAACCAAACTAAATCATGTAATGAAACTTTGGGCTCATGAGGAAAGGAACTGTCATGGAGTACTTTTTTGAAGGCATGTTTTTAATTACATTTTGTTGAGGTAAAGCATAATTCTTTACAGGACGGGAAATATGCTGAAATCCAAACCCTGAAAGCAACATAGCTATTTTCTATTTACAAAGAATACATTGCTGAATTTATTCTGAAAAACAAATAAAATATAGATTGCACAAATGTACTTTCCAAGTACTGTAAAGATAAGAGAGTAAATGTGAAAGCAAACAAGAAACAGAAAAATATAAATTTCAGGCTGGCTACCAGTGATATTAACAAGTCATTGAATCTTCAGGTTGCATAATGATTGACTTTCTAAAAAGAAAACTAAATATAAAGTACTGCTTAATGGAACACTGGAGTAAGTGCTGTCTTTGTATTGTTAAAGATTAAAAATAATTCTTAAAAACAATGAGGTTATAATAAAGTAGCAATTTGGACTTTGGTTTTTGGATATTTCTGTAGTTCAAGAATATTATGGAGGTGTGAAGGGAGGGCAGGGACAAGGGGAAAAAATGAGAACCTGCCATGTAAAGGTACAAGATCCCAATGATGAATGTAACTGTGCTGCATACCTAAAATGAACCAATAAACTCAATAAGGAAAATCAAGAATATTATTATGCCTAAAACAATGATTATTGAAAATAGAGATACTTATTCAGCCACAGATACATTTTTGTGAATAAAATTTGTTCTTGAAAGTAGCTCTGTCTTCATTATGTGGAAAGAATGAATACTTCGATAAAATTCTATATTGTCAACCATGAAACTAAATTTACATTACCTGTGACTTAAAAAATCTTCTCAAAAAAAGTAAAAAGTCTTTAAAAAGTATTTTTAAAAAAATCTTTTCTTTTTTTTTTTTTTTTTTTTTTTCAGGATTGAACGTGGGTCCCTGTGCTTGTGAGGCAGGTGGTGGAACCACTGAGATAAATCCCTGGCCCTCAGATTCTTAATTCTGGTAGTTTCATTTTTAAAGAACATAAAATAATCTAATACTGTCCTGTAGGAACACACAACTCGAAAATTTTCATCTAATACCTCTTGATTGGCTGAGAGCTATCAGTGAAAGATAAAGTAAACCCCCCAAAATAGGCCTAGCCATGATCACTTTGGTGTTAACTCAATAAACTCAGTGACATCGGCTATTAAATTCTGATCCTTTATCAATCATCTCAATTCATCTTCTCTTAAAGACTTACACTGGCACTATTTCACTGCATTAATTCTCTGCAGTACAATTTGAATGATTTACTTTTGGACATTTGCACATGTGTTCCCTCTGCAGTCCTCTTTACTGCTGGGTGACTCCCCACCCTGTCAAGTCCTCAAATGTCCCTCATGATGGGCACTGCTCTTCTCTGCTACTGTGATCTTTCACAGCACTGCTACTGAGCTTCTGTGAGAACCCTTGTCTCTGTTTTGTATTTCACTGCCACAGCTTTTGATAGACAGCCCTTCATTCTTTAAAGAGACTCTTAACTGATGATGACATATGTCAACAGGATGCTTTCCCACGTCCCTTGTGGTGTCCTAAATACTATATTAGATACTGCATGTGTGTCATACCCTACTCAATTACTAATTGTTGGAATTGTGAAGTTCTCTTTGAAACTGAGTTACTTGAAATGGCACTTTGAAAATGCTAGCGTTAAGAATTTGATGCTTTTTGACATAAGAAAAATATTCATGACAAAATTATTCAGATCACACTATCACAGCCCGTTTCTTTATTGCAAAGCTAGTACCACTGGGCAGTAAGACTAAATCATCTGAGGAACACATTGCTATCTATGAAAGGGACTTGTCTCCCTCAAAGGATGTAATTCCCAGAGCCCAAGAACACCCACTTTCACCACTCATTTTCTCCTCAGAGTTTAAAAGTAATCATTGCTACTAATATGTTTTGATGTCTCTGAAATGTCAAAGAGCAAACATTCATTGCCAGGAACTCCACAAAGTGGACAAATGAAATAGTATTTTGATAACCACAGAAAGAGATTTTCTCTTGTTTTATTCATCAGTATTTGAAAGAAGAAGAAGAAAAAAGAAAACTTCTTCTATTTTTCACTGATTTCTTCCTTTCTAAATAAAATAATTCCCTCACTTCACTACCTACATCTTTATAGGCATAAGCCACAGTAAGACTTTTGCTTTGATGTGTTTAAAAGCATTGCATTTAATATTAATTTTAAAATTATATATTTGGGAACTTTTAAAAAGTGTTTTGTTTCTGTCCCAGTCATCTTCAAATGTCTGCGAGCTTCTTTGGGTCTTGAGATTTATGAGATTTTTCATCCTAGGTTGAAAAAATAATTTCTTTCTGCAGATGAGGTAGAAGATGGAAGTTAAAGTGTTTTTGTATCTTTCATATAGTTTCTTTTGCCTTTGAGTCTAAGCAGAGACAGAGACTCTCACAGAGAGAGATATCGAGAGACAGAGAGAGGTGGAGAGAGAGAAATTTTGAATGTGCCTTATATTTTCCCCAAGAAACATTTTCTGAGATTTATCCTAAGCTGGATAGTGAAAGAAATTCAATTAACTAACTTAACAGAAGATAAACACAGGTTAACTTGAAACACGAGACTCTTCCTTTGTTCGGTAAAGTCAGTTGCAGAGCTCTAACTTGTCCCATCGCTGATGAAGCCCTGCTCACGCTAAGTGGTAGTGACTTACTGCAGTTAAGTGCGTTTCATCACCACATTCAGCCAACTAGAAATGCTCAGTGGCTCTGAAATGAATCTATTTGAATTCATGTTCCTTTGCTTCATATGTAAACCAAAATGGAGACAGCAAATCAAACTTAAGGGTGCAAGTCTGTAAGGACAACAACAATAAACGTTAATGACTGATTTTGTGGAAGCTCTCTCTTTACAGCCAATGGGGGACTCCATGACGTTCCCTCTGTTTGCGCAGATCTCTGGCTGAATCGCAGTTCACTATGTAGCAAACTCTAGCATTCGTTAGTAACTACTTATTGAACTCTGTCTAATGTGTCATCGTTTCTAAAATTTTAACTTATTCCTATTTTATAATTTTGTCTGCTGTGCACATTAGGACTTCTGAGACGTTAGGCCAAATTGAAATCACTGAAAGCCAGGTGGACAGAAGCCAATGCATTTCACTCTGCATTGTCCATACATACTGAACTTCCACTACAGTTTTATGTACATCACATATGCAGATCTCATTAATATTCAAGTCCTTGCTTAGAAAATTCTTACACTCTATATTTGTGTGTGTGAATGTTAGTGGGGCTAAGTGGATGCAATTCCTATCAGAATGGTTTTGTCTTTATACCATACAACAGTGAGGACTTATCTCTGTATAAGTTTTTATCATAACCATCATTTTGTCTTCAATTTCTTCTTTATATATGTCTGCACAAATTTGCCACAGGAAGATTTTCTGACAGTAAATCTCCAGTAATTTCTGAAAAAAATCAATTAATTTCTGAGTGTTTGCTCAGAGTATTTGGACATAATAAACACTTTTGGAATCACCTTGGGTAAAAATGACATCATAATATTAATATTTCCCTTTATTTAGACTCCATTTATACATGGTCTGTCTCAATTAGAAGTAAATTGCTTTCAAAACTGAATTTTATCTGTGTTGACAAATATCAGCTAAGCCTTCTAGAGTGGACAAAGGCATATTAGTGACACTTAAGTCCATAGTTGATTATTTACTGCTAGAGAGAACTCGGAGTCAATGTACACATTTTCACCTCTCTAAACTTTATGAGGACTTTCTCTTACCACCAATGACTGGAAATTTCTCAGTAAGGATTGAATGTTAAATGGCTGGTCAGTTTGGAGAACATCTATGTACTGTTCTTATTTTCTTGAGTTGAAGACAGAATAAGAAGTGGGAAATCTATGCCTTACTTACAAAAACTGATAGGGCTACTGTCAGAGTCTATATAAAATATGAGGCTGAGAACACTTTCATTAACAAAAGTTTAAAACAAATGAATATGGGAAATATTTCCAGACTAATGAAGTTTCACTTTGCCATTGTATTTAGATTTTACTATCAGAAGCATAGAAGCAACGTGTTATCATCATGCTGCATACATAAAATTAGATAGATCAAGAGTGATTTGTTTTATAAAGTCAGGGAAGTATTTTCTTACCATAATCCTACAGAAGACCTTGATTTTGTATAAATGTTTCCATGAATACAGAGTTTCATCTTTCCATTCCTCCTCTGCAGAGTAACTAGGTATTTTTGCTTACTTGTGTAGTTTATCTAAAATCTAAACCCAAAGAAATTATTGGCTTCCCAAACCTGATCTTCCAAATACTCTCTGCGTAACAAAGTAAAAACTCTAGGATGCACACAGGTTCGCCAAGGTTCCTCTCCAACCACAGAGCTCAGAATTAGCATAAGCAGAGCTTGACATTCGTAACCCACTCTCCTCCAAGTCCCTCAGTCTGGTTCCGCTTTACACTGGAATATACACCATTATGATGTAAAAATTAATTAAGCAACATCTGGAAAGCTAACATGTTGTAAAAAGCTTAAATCATATTTTATTCCTCAAGATTTAAACACAAATTAAGAATTATTCATATTAAACTTACTTCCCATGCCTCAAAACTGGAATATAATATAGCACAGGGCAGTGGCAAACAAGCAAAATCCAAATTTTTGCACAGGGGCATAATCAGACAGAAAATGTCCTAACTTTGGGGAACACTAGATGGCGAAAAATTTTAGAGTAAAAGAAAATCTCCCCCTTCAAATGATTCTTATTTCATGGATTTAAAACTTTCAATGAACCGCAAATACAAAGATGATATCACACCTAGTGACTAGCATCAGTATGCTGTGAAATTTTACTTCAAGGCCAATAGCAACAACAATAAAATATTATTTATAACAACTTGGAAAACCAAAGCCTCAAAAAATGCTAAGAAAATTAGATTGCTTAGGAAACTAGTAAAATAATGAGATTTGTATGTTATATATTTAAACAGTAGTTGAATGTTTCATGAAATTCTCCCATAATAACATATTTTATGCAAAATGTATGTAAATATATTTATAAAGTAAAGATTTAAACATTAGTGTCAGCAAGGCTTTCTCCAGCACAGGACTTGTCAGTGTGCAGAATATTTTTACAGATGCTCTTGTGCCCCTCACAACAACCCTGTGAGGTAGGCAGGGAAGTCAGTGTCATTTTTATTTGTGATTCTCAAACCATGAAGCTCTAAACTTTCAAGACTGTGTCCAAGGAAACATGTGAATCTCCTATTTTTTGTGCCAAATCCTACATATTTTCCTATAGATACCAAACATGTGGGAACTAATCACATAGTGAAATCGGAAGAGTCTGAATGTGTGTAAACAAGGAAGGTCATTCAACCATGAGTCTACAAAGTTAATGTTCATATAGATGTCTTTTTTCAAGCTACAATGTTATCATGTGAAGCACATTTGTTGGATAAGTATTCATGACATTAATCGGTAAGCAGACTGCAGTATAAACTAATCAGTGAAACTTTGGACGATTAATTTTAGTTACAGAAATGATTTAAAATTGCCAATTCACATGTGCAAACAAAAGAGAAACTCAATGTTCCATAACATGTCACACAGGATAAGGTTTTAGCTGTTTTGTTTTTTTTTAATGTAAAGTCTTCTTGGCTTTATTGGAGTTTATTTTAAATCATCTGTTGTTTGTATTTAGAAAAGGGGGATCTCTTGTTAAAATGAAAGAGGACAGAAGGGACAGAGACAATCGGTGCACAGGTGTGCACCAAAATTGCATACATTAGAGTGCAGGCAGCAAATCCCCATGCTCCATCCATTTGGTATGGAGAGAAGACCTGGGGAGGGCACAGGGAAATGGTACAGAACAGTCCATGACAGAGCGGCCTGATACACTGGGAATTCCTCGTGTGACTTAAAAACAGCAAGACTCATGAGGGCTGCCACAGTAACACGAGTGTGGGTCTCCAGGGTCTAACCAGAAAAGTGGGAAATGCTCATGATTACTTTCACACTTTTTCTTTGCAGTTGTACCACCCCTATAAGTTGTAATTCTCTTGACTTTGAGCCCCTTTGTCAATGTCACAAGCATTGCAACAAATATTCATTGTTTGGCTTATTTCAGTTATTCTTCATTAAACATAGGACAGACTTTATTGAGCAACTGAAAATATACACAAGGAATAATAGCTTTTTCTCTGTATGTTTTATATTTGACATTCTTCCAATTATATAACCCAGTTTTGCTTATAAAAAGGGCACTTGTTTCTACAAGAGCTGTGCAGTTTGTTCAGTTACAAGAACAGTTTGCAAGCGTCTTCCTTGTCACAGCTGAGGTTACATCTTCACTTGTTCAGGAAGTAAAGTCCACAAAGTTGTAAGGATCAGCCACTAAGTTGTTCTTTCAGATTCTATTTCGCCATAGAGTTCAGCTAACTTTTTAAACTCTGGTCCCCAGTCTCCAAGGTAGTGATAATCTTGATCTGATTGTGTGGTGGCTGAATCCAGTGAGCTGATAGATCCAGCCTCTGATCTCTGACCCTCGTAGGCGTAAGTCTGAAGAGAGTCATATGGGGGAACACTGGGGTCTAGGTCTGCTTCAGCCAGTCTTTGCTTAATAAACTCCTGAACATCTATGCTTTCCAGGGTAGATAGTGTCTGGTGTCTTGGAGTGAGCTTCACTTCCGGTCGGATGTCTCTCCTGTACTTGAGTTCCTCAGCAGCGGAAGGGTTTCTCAAGGCTGTGATGTCGAAGGCCTCAGTGTCTTCCTCCCCACCTCCTTCATCATCGTAGGTGACCACGTTCTCTCGCACATCTTCCTCAGAAATGATCAGGGGCTCTTTTTTACTGCGCCTCAGGGTGATAAAAAGTACTACAATGGCTGAAGAAAAATAGAGAGAGAATGAAGAATTAGGGAGAATAAAGAAATCTTGGGGAAAATTCACATCAGTAATTTGCAATCCCTGTCACCAACTGCAATGAAGCAAAACCCTTATCTATGTGCACTCTGAATAACAACGCAAGATGTTTCAGTGCCTCCAAAAAGATTAAAAAAAAATGGGTGCCCCAATGAAGCCGTATGCATTGCTCATCTGCAGAAGATCATGATCTTTTCATTTACGAGGCTCAGGAATTTAAGTTCTTTGCCTCACATTGCAGAGTAACTGCGGAGTACTTTAAGTGAAAAAAAAAAAAGATGATAGCTAAGCAGCATGAAATCTTGAATGCAAAAATAAAAATTGTTGGTATACATATATATTCTTAATCATTTTAGGTAGATACACTACAGGCAGGATATGTTAAGTTTCTACAACAATGGAAGAAGGAGTCTCTACCTTTTGATATTGTGCAGACAAAGGAGGGATTTGCATGCTGCTGATTTCATTTGTGTGTTAGCAATATTATATAGTTAGGTATTCATAATTACACATACATTTCAAGTTAAAAATGTTATCTTATTTGTACACAGAAACTCCTCTGAGAATCATTTTCATATAACTTTCTTATTTCATCTAAATGACAGAGCCATGGTTTTCCTCTGTACTATTTGGGAAATGAGACTAAGGAGAGGATATACAAATAATTGTGATCCCAGGAACGGTTCACACAGATAGCTTCTGGAAGAGCTGGGGCCACAATCTAGGGCTTCTCAGAACAAACGTAGTGATAGCTGTGATACAATCTTTCACTTCACCCCGTGTGAGTGTGTGGAATAAACGACTTAGTGACTCGTTGGACTGTGGTTCACTGGCACTTGTGTCAGTACTGTGGCCTAGTCAACAGTACCAGTCCTGTTAAAATCTGGATCAGGTGACAGAAATAAAGCTCATCAACGTTGCTTGGGCATATTCTCTTTATTCTAAATCTATTTGATATACTAAATTGCTACTAAATAGAAATAATTACCTCATATCAGCTTTGTTATAGAATTCAATTAGGCCCAATAATGTACTACAGCTCTGTGGATGGTTTTCTTTTTGCACAACTAATATTCTAGACTTTAGAAGAGTAATTAGGAGGTTCACTAATATCTTAAACTTTTTTTACATTAAAATACAGTACTTAGAAAAGTATATTAAGCTGATATGTTAGGTTGTTAGGTTTATCACATAAAAAGAAAAATGTAGGTCACCCAATTATACATAAATTTGAGATAAACACGAATTTTTATACACACACACGTGTGTGTGTGTGTATGCTGCACAATAACACTTGGAATTTTTTACCTACACTCACAAATTCAGCATAAAGCATGTATATGCTACAAATGTTACATCACTACATGTGACATATGTATCCTATAAAACATTTACATACCTGCACACATTTTTATCTGAAATTCACATTTAAATGAGTACTACATTTTATCTACCAAAAATAATTTTAAGTAATCTTCAAGAAATAGTAGTTTTTTGTCTTCTGTGGGGAAAAGTTTTACTGAATGCAACAGATATGTCTTTAAAACCTTTCTGTAATGTTCAGAATAAATGTATCTCTCAGTTTTCTAATTCAAAGCTGCAGAACAACATGGAAATAACTTGTTCATTCTATTCAAAGGTTTAGAAATTATCATAAAGTATATATCTTTGTTTGTCTTTATGTTTAAATGAAGAAGATGCTCTATATTGGACCAGCTATTATACAAACTATGCAATTCATTACAGTAAAATTTCTTGCCTTCATTAATATATCAAGATTTTTTTTTTATGTTTTGAAGTGGGTGGTTGTAGATGTCAAGGGAATTTATGTGCATGCACCATAGGAAAAACGTAACCGGTACTGTTTCAGAAGTATGGAGGTAATCTGCATCCTTCACTAACATTAGTGCAAAGTTTCAATCATGGGGTGTAACAAATCTAGTTAATGCATTATGGGAGATAGTGATATTTTCATTACAATTTCCTGTATTAGTTTAATCTCCAAGAGTTAAGAAAACACTCCTGATACGTTTTGATTAAAATATAGATATTATTTGTTTGAATGTCAAATGCTTAAATCTACTTTGCAATGACAGGTATTTACCAGTGACTATGTATCCCTGCATTAGTTACATACCTGCTTCATAGAAGGGTCAACATATAAACAATAATGTAAACAGTTACACCCTTGGTAAAAGAGAATGTAAGTTATAATTATATCAGAATAGGAAAGCATGCACATATATGAATGCAGTAAAGGCAAATTCAAATCAGTTCTGAGAAAAATACTGGAATATGGAGGCTGTGATGCACTTCTTGCAAATTGCTTTTTATTTATGTTCATTTCTGCATAAATTTAAGTAATAAATGGCACAAAGCAGATACTATATAACAATTCTTACATGAATGAACAGAAGAATAATCTCTGTGAAAAATGGTAAAATAACACTGTGTTAAATGAATACTCATGAATTTTAATAACTTTACTAAAAAAGTATGCCTAAATATTAAAAAAATTTAGTTCATGGTTACTCACATTATACTCTTAATATTACTTGAGGATATTTTTGGACAGTTGAAAACTTAATGTTTCTAAAAAAACCCCAAGACCAAAGTTTAGTATTAGATCATCAATACACATAAAATTTACATAGATAGAGAGAGATACACATTTTATTAAAAAACTAAAAGTCAAATGAAATATTCAAATGAGTAAAATAGTCTCCAAAATTAAGCATGTGATATGAGATACTTCTGGTATGTTACTTGGGGATAATACAATATGAAATAAATTGCTCTGTTTTGTCAAAAAATATAGATGAGTCCTTCTATATTTAGAAGAGAAATTTAGCTTTAAGTAGCTTTAAAAGTTTAGCTTTAAAAATTTTAGCTGCAATAAAGTATGGTATTTTTGAGAGGTCTTTATTTTTAAATAAATATTTTATTCATTTTTAGTATTTTTTTTTCTTCCCTTATTTTTAAGTTTGGACATCTTTGGTATTATCTTTTTAGGTAGGAAATTTGAATTTGGTGAGATTTACTCATTAAATTGATTCATATGCAAAATTAAAATTTGGAAAATATTTTTGTATTTGTTTTCTCATAGGTACTTCTATAAATTATATGATATTCTCATGAAGGGGATTCTAAGGGTTTTCAATTTCCTAATTTGAGCCCTCACATAATATGAATTTATTAAATGCTGAATCCCAACATAATCTCCCCAAATATCATTTATGGAAAATTTATTTTACCTCAAAATATCACTTCTTTTTTATGCTAGCATTTGGTGGCTCCACGTATGGCAGAAAAGAAGTGGCCCAAGGCAGCAGATTGTTCCCACTGGCTGATGGGGAGTTGCTGCCCACATCTGGGTGTTGTACCTCTCACTGAAACCTTAGATTTTCAAGGAGGAAGCACCCAGTTCGTTGTTATTACCAAATGCCAAATAGATTAGAGGTTCTCTCCTCACCAATTTGACCTTTCTGTCCTGTCCATGGCTCTCTCACAGACAATACCCTTTGACCCCCAATTATCTGGGTATTTATATCCCAGACCAGGGAGCAATGCAAGTCGTTTCCTCGCAAAGGGCACCTGTTTCCATGGGAGATGTGGAAGAAAGGGTAGATGGCAGAGCTGGGCATGGTGGTAGCTGTAATCCTAGCACTTTGTAGGTTGAGGTAGGAGGATGATATCAAGTTCAAGGCCAGCCTGGGCCATATAGTGAATTCAAGGTCAGCTTGAGCTACAGACCTTGTCTCAACTTACACTCTCAAAACAAAACAAAACAAAGGGTAGTTGGCAGAGGTCTAAATCCTGATTCAGTGACTTCATATAACAAGTGTGATCAAGCTTTAACCTATCAACTGCTCTGGTCCCTGTGGGAAATTGTAGGATAAAGGTACACCCATAGGAGGAAAAGAGGACACCAGGTGTACCAACACTCAAAGCAAACTCTGATGACAGCATGAAACCTCACTCCAAATTCCCTCCCCATAAGATAAAATGAGCCTGAAAAAGGCACTCTCAAAATAATCTGACTTTGCACAGATCACTTTTCTTTGTAGACATTCAAAATGCATAATGTATACATTTGTTGTGAGTAATTGGTACATGTGCATATGAAATCTTAATCCTTTTAAATTTCTCCTCCTCTTTACTCTTTTCTTCTGCCTCCATCCTTGGATCCCTTTCCCATCTGCAAACAATCTGCCTCCCTGTTACCACTTATGTGTCTTTTGTTCTTATCTTTTAATTATTTGTGTTTTGGGTTTTTCATGTAGGAGAAACTATGCAATATTTAACCTTCTGCATCTGATTTATTTCAATTAGCATAGTCTCAGGTATATTCATTTTTGTAGAAATGACCCAAATTTTACCTCTGTATGGCTCTCTGTATGAACTCCATTGTTCGTATATGTCAAATTTTATTTATCCATTCCTTTGTTGATGGACATATAGATTGCTAGCACGACTTAACAACTATGAATCGTACTAGTAGAGCCAAGGGTATGTATATATCATAGTAACATGATGTCTTTAAGTGATTGGGAAGATACCCAGAAGGGGTCCTGCTGGGTCGAATGGAATTTCTCTTTCTGAGGAATATCTATAATGATTTCCATAGGGGGTGCAAACTACTTATCCACACACAGGACAATGAATTAAAACTTGCATGTTTTAGCTTGTACTAAACTGAAATTAAAATGAATCCAACTATTTTAGGTATTAATACAGAAAGCTTTAATCTTCTAGAAAATAAAATAACTAAAACTTAGGAAGACATAGACAGAGGAAAGAGCTTTATGTATATTTATGATTTAAAGTTAGGGTTTTTCTCCCCTCCCGTTTTTTTTGGTAGTGGAATTTGAACTTGGGAGCTTGCAAAATGTACAAAAAGAGAATATATCCGTATTACAAAATGTTAAAACATATATAAACTGTAAGACAAAATAAGCATAATGAGAATTGACAGATGACTTTAAAGTCCTTTTTAGCTGAAATTTCATTTTCACATGTTCAGAAAGTGAGAGGAGTCACCTGATGTCACAATTAATTATTGCTAAAGCTAGGACTGGATTTTCACAAACACGCTTATTTTTATAAACCATGAAGTTAATGTCTAATATGGTTTTCAGTATTATCATATTAATTCAGTAATTTTTTGGATGTTATGTGTGAATGTTATTTCAGAATTTTAGATTGTACAGTATATTTTTGCTATCTTTGGTGTTAGTAGTGATACTTTCAATAAAATCTGTGAGGTCACAAATTAACTTTGAAATTAATTTTAATTTCCAGATGATAATATTTTAAGTCTGTCGGTGAGATGATGTTTGATAAACATAGACTTTTACAACGCAATATACAATTTAAGTTATATTATAATTACTAGTTCTTAAACACAAGATCAAGGAATTATTCTATATCATGAAAGTATGAAGTGTTCTATATGAATAAAATTTCAAATTCTAACATTGTTCAGAATTCCTAAGATATTATATATAATACAAACATTCTGTCATTTATGTCAGAGACCAAAAAATATTTTCATAGAATTCAATAAACAATAAAAAGAAAGTACCATTTACATGAAATAGTGTTCTCTTACATAATGTATCTTTTTTATAGGAATATTTTTTCAACTCTAAATTTCATCTTAGTATCTGAAAAAATTGAAGATAATTTGTCATCTTCAATGGACTATGTTGTAGAATAAGGACTCCAGAAATACTTAAATCTAAATCAGTGAGCTCTATTTTCTGTGCCTTCACTTAGGAATCCCAGAATATTCTAGAGTTTCTGTTGTTGTATGTCTTTGCTTTTTACTTCAGAGTGTTTTATGGTCTTTGCCCCCCGCCCCCAGTAAAAGCATAATATTTGACTGTATAGAGGAGATAGCAGATATGATTAACAGTTACAGAAATAAATCTAACTTTAGAAACCTGATTTTCCTTGCTTCCTTGGACCCACACATTTTGTGTCCAAGATGTACTGCCAGGAGACAGTCTTCCCTGGTGCGTACCAAGCCTCCATGTTCCACACTGCTAACTTTGTCATAATTTTGGTGCTCAACTTATGTAACCTCTAAGTAGCTTTGACAACTTCTACTGTTTCTGCACAGCATACTGTCCTCTTCAACACTATTTTTCCCTTGACCTTTGTGATACTGCATTTTTCTAGTTTTCTTTCTTCCTTACTTTGTCACCCTCCTCTGCTCATTTTTCTTGATCTACTGATCTTTCTACACAGCTCAGACCCAGCCTGAGGTCTCTCTGGATGGCTATTCATCTGTTTTGTGACTTTAAATGAATGCATCCTCGGCGTCTGCAGGTCAGGTGAAATCAGGGCCCACATTCAGAAGTGACAGACTTATGCTACCTCACCTAGAGACCTAAATTTTTCAAAGGTTACAATTGATTTCCTATAAAGTATCTTGAAATTATTCTGTTTCCTTTAAACTCCCTGAAAATATCTTAATCCAAATCATATTCTCTGAGGGAGATAATCAAACTGTCTTCTTAATCGTTTTGTCTCTCTCTCTCTGTCTCTCTCTCTCTCTTTCTGGTACCAGGGATCGCTTGCAAGGCAGGCAGCAGAAGCACTGAGCACCCACTCCCGCCCTTGTTTTGTCTCTTGACAGCATGGTACTTGATCTCTAATTAACCCATTGTGGTCTTTTAAAATTGCAAATGATGTCATATGACTGTCTTATTTTGAATCTTTCTTTACACATCTGGATTACAGCCCGTCTTTGGCCTGACTGACAAATCGCACACCGTCTCGTTCCTTCTCCTAACATCCCTTCTCCCTTTCAGTCTTGTTCCTCCTTGCCTGTTCACTCCATCTCTGCAATTGATTGTCGTCCATGCGGGAACAAAGCCAGGGCCACTCCTCACAAGAATAACTAGGTCAAAACATACACTCCTGTTGTCATTTATGTTCAGTACTCAAAAAGGTGCAAAAGGTAAGCTTACTAAGAGAAAGGAAGAATGTGGGAACACAAAAATGAACACAACTACTCTAAACTTCGAAGTAGAAATGACTGATATCTTTCCTATATAAAATTTGGATTTGCTATTTGTTTTTTCTTTTTACTAGATTTTACTGTACATTGAAAAATAAAGGGTTTATTATGATATTCACATGATGATGGTAATATTTAGGCTATTAAAATAAGTACTGTAAAATTGGATGCTTTTTAATAAAATAATATAAATTTCAAATTTCAAAAATCATACTGTTTGAATTTAATTTAAATAAATAAAATTGCAACATATTGGACTGTAGTAATTTCAAATCAGTGTTTAAAAAAGAAAACAAGGGTAACTAAGCAATATTTTGGATCCTTTGAAGTTTCCTATTTATCATATAAGTTTATGATATCAATATTATATTTTATACATGAGTACATTGTGAAATATTAACTATAGTCAAGTTAATTAATATATGCATCACTCAAGTTATCCCCCTTTTGTGTGTATGCAAATCTTCCTAAATTTCCAGTATACAATTCAATATTATTCTTAATTTCAGTCCTCCTGCTATATATTAGATTTCCACTTTTGTCCTGTGTGAGTAACATCCAAATGCTATGCGTCTTAATCTGATTCATTTTAGAATTATGTTCTTGGAGAGAAACTGTCAAAGATTTTCCTAGATAGGATTCAGAATATTTTATTTCTTTACTAAAATATAGGAAATAATTTCCCTGGCAAACTCAGTTTTCCTGCTTTCTCTGATACGCCAAAGCTTTCATCATATTTGAATCAAATTACTGCTAGATTGTAGAGTACTGTGAAAGCTAATTAAAAGCAAATGCGTGCAGTCATATAATCTTAGCCACATGAATGCATCCCTTATACTTAAGCGGTGTAAAATGGCCCGCTTCTACTCAGACGCCCGTCCCATCGCACAGGTGCAGCACGACTTACCGAGGAGGATGACAACACAGAGGAGAATAGCGATTAGGGCCCCAGTGCTCAGGCCGGCGGAGGACAGAAAGGCTTCTGCGTGGCAGGTCCGCACGCGCCCATCTCTCTCGCACGCACAAACCCTGATGGTGAGGGTGCTGCTGCTGCTGAGAGAGGGGATTCCACCATCAGAGATCATAATGGGCAGATAATACACATCCTGAATAGTTCGACTAAATCTCCTCCGCCTTGTCAGAATGCTGGCTGTGTTATCTATGACAGACATAAGCAAAACAAAATATACTTAGTAATGCTGCCATTGAAGATTCACGTTTCCTTTGATGGATAAAATGTGTCTGTGCGACTTTTTTTTTTTTTTAAACCTTAGGAAACAGACAAGAGAACATGAAGGGACAATTATTAGGGAGTTGGCATTGCTAATATTTATTCTCGAACTGAGTGACCTAGTTTGAAAAGTTGACACAGCCAAACTAGAGGGGAAGGAAAAGAATACGAAGACAGGGGGAGGAAGTAATGAACATTTTGGACGTGGGTGCAGTAGCTAAAAGTTGTAAGAAATGCAAATGGCCTGAAACCCAGTGCACCCTGCACTTCATGGTGAGCTGGGGGACCGTCCCAAAGGTTCCGACAGCAAGTGATAAGAACACACTGTTTTTGCTACATTATGTATGTGATGTTAACACATTAAAAATCTATAAAAACCAAATGGTTAGAGATAATATTTCTAAGGAAACACCACATTGACACTTTTAAAAACTTAACTATGATTTGAAGCTCTCTCATTAGACTGAGCATACCACGGGGAAGTTAATGATGGATAAAAAAATTAATTCTGTTTTATATGCTTTTTAAATGTCATATATTGTAATAAATTCACAGAAACTAGTAAAGAAAAATGTGTTAAATTCTTTGCTTTTCATAGCAAAGCAATTTATAGTACAAAGAATAATTTGAATTGCCTAGAGTTCTGGAGTACATTTCAGGACCCTGTTAAAGATATACTCCTAAGTGAAATAAATAAGTCACACATGTGTAAATACCAAATAGTTTCCCTGCTGTGAATATTCTGCAACAATGCATAAGATTCTAATAAGATTACTGACAATTAGAAATTTGAAGAAAGGAGCTAAAGGTGTAGGAAAGGTGTGATGTGTAGGGGAAGAACAAAAAGGGAAAAGAAAAAAATGTGAGAGAATGAAAAGATGAAAATAAAGTGTTTGTAGATGGGGAGGGGAGGAGGGGGTGAGGGGAGGGCAGAGGTAAGGGGAAAAAACGAGAATCAAGACTTGCCATGTAAAGGTACATGATCCCAACAATGAATGTAACTTTACTGTATCCCTAAAATGTACCAATAAACTCAATAAAATTAAAAAAAAAGAAAAAAAATCACAGTATCAGTTACCTCTTCACCATTTCACCACTCATTGAAATTAATGTCCTCAAGGGAACACAGCCTACAATATTTTATCAGTTCTATTTCTCAGCCAGACTGTACACTAGCAAAACGACACCCTTGGTATACATTTGGATGTGCTGTTCAGATCTCCATCGTGGTAATGATAGTTGCCGTAGGGGCAGCCTGTTGCACAAGGCAAGGTCTCAGTCTCTTGGAGGGTCATGTAATCAAGATCAGTTGCCAAATTGTGAAGTTCAGGCCATTTTCCTGCCACTGCGGACAGTAAGGAAGACCAAGTTTAGCCCCAGAGTCTTCCCATGGGATGGACCTTTAACTGGCATGAGAAATGTCTGGCAGCTCAATTTTTCGCTCGACCCAAGCCTTCTTCTTCCGCGGATGTGGAGCCAAGGACTAGCTCCACTCGCAGGCTGCACTCCAGTTCCATGTTATCGCTGCGGAGAACTCAACCCGACTAAAACTGTGACTTAATTACTTTTCACCAAAACACAGCGCTATTTGTCATGGTTCATCGCAATTTTGTAAACTTGCTTGGCCTGGGAACCACCAAAGGATGGCAGGTGCTCATTCTGAGTGGTTTCTCTCTGGCTTTCCTCCCTGCTCTGCTTTGCGGCCTCCATGAACTTCGCAGCTCTGTTCCACCACGCTCGTCCGACATGATGTTTTTCTCTTGAAACCGGCTGACTGTGGACTGAAACTGTGGGGCTCATTAAACCCATCCTCCTTTAATTCCTGGGTATTCGGTATGAGCTGCCCACTGATATATCACCGGACAATTAGAGTAGGGGTTCTATCATCTCAAGCATTTCTAGTACAAAAATCAGAATTCTGTTTTGTGTAGGCATAGTTATGATAAAATGTTTTCTGGATTGCACATTGCTAAATTAGTGTAACAGAAAGATGATTTTGCAAAGGATCAATGAAATATAGAGAATAGAATTTAAAAATTTACATATATTAATATAATTGCATATGGTTACATTGGTTAAGGCATGCTACAGAGAAAATGTAAATAACCTATTGAGGAATTGAAACAAGATTTTCTTTCCCGGCAAAGAAGCCTTTAAAAATATATATTAATTTTCTATTCTGCAGTAGGTCACAGGATAGGAAAAAAGGAGTAAGGAGTTGCAGTATGCAAAAGGCACAGTAAAACAACAGTCCTGCATACTCTCCCAAAAAACTTGACCTTTAAGGAAGCAGATATCGCTAGTTATAGTATATGACATTATGATTAATATAAACTTGTTTCTACTTAATTATTCCTTAATCTAAGGAAAATGTAGGAACTAAAATTTATGGGAGCAAACATGTTTGTGATATTCATAACTGATCCACTGACTTAAGACACTCATCCCAGATTTCAGAAACTACCCATGTAGATATATAAATTAATATGATAATATGCAGTGATAGATGAGGAATCTAATAGTTCCAGCCTATTGGACACTGAATAATCTTTATACAATTATGAGAAATTTAATATGAAATATTATTAGGAATCAACAAAGTTGCAGTACATTTGATTAGCATTTAAAGTTTTTAAAGGGAAAACCCTATGACATGGAGACATAGAAATGTTTTTTCAGCTGGGGATTTAGCTCAGCGATTCGGTGCCTGCCTTGCAAGCACAAAGACCCAAGTTCAATCCCTGGTACCAAAAAAATAAAAAAAAAAAAGTTTTTTCGACTTTCCAGCTGAAGGTTTGACTTTTTAAAACCAAAGAGGATTCATAAAACAGAGCTTCCCACCTAGAAAGGTCTAACACAGCAAAATAATGAGCTCTTGACAAGGGATATTCTATACTTCCCCGGAACTGCAAAAAATGTGCTTGGCAAAAGACTCACTGAGCTTGAAAAAGAGAACTTTCAGCATTGAGGAAGAAAATATCAGTGGTGCTGAAAAAAAATGTACATATACATATGCATGTATATGCAATTGTGTAGATATACAACACGTTTGTGTATATACATATACATCAACAAAATTTTCCTTGTAGAAGCTACGAAATTAGGCAAAAAGAGCAAGAAAAAAATCTCTAAATATTATATATGTTTAAAAAGAGTTATAGAAGCTTTTAAATAACATTCAAAAAATACAATTTAATATGAGCTGAAAAAATGGAAACAAAAAAGTTGAACATCTGTGATGAGAAAATGCTTTTCTTCATCAATTAACAGACCATCTCTAATAATATGCTCCTAAGCTCGTTTCCTAACTTTATCCCTCAACAGCTTTGATACAAACATGAGCTTGTAAGGAATTTTGATATGAAGCTCACACAGCTAAAGTATTAGATCTGTTTTGAAATTGTTAATTGGAACAACTCAAACAAAGACATAATATAGCAAGAAGTCAAAACAAAGCTATGTTTTAGGTGGCAACTGGAAAATTTCGGGTGAAAGAGATCTAGCAATATAGAGCTTCCCTAAAAAAACTAAAATTTTCTTAGAAGTAGTCAACAAATACCCATAGTTATGATGAATGTCTTTATTGAGAATATTGAAGTATCATGTATATTTTTGAGTCTAGTAATTTAAAAGTGAAATGTTAACTTATTACTAAAAGTGATATTATTTATTATATCATTACTATAATATTTATTATATTATTAATAAAGGTAATAATATTTTAACTTATTACTAGAAAAATGGATATTAGAAAATGTTACCATGGAAAAGTAAAAGAGAAAATTACGACATTGAAATAAACCTTGTGGGGGCCAGGGATTTAGCTCAGCGGTTCGGTGGCCTGCCTTGCAAGTGCAAAGACCCAAGTTCAATCCCCGGTACCAAAAAAAAAAAAAAAAAAAAAAAAAAAAAAAAAGAAAGAAAGAAACCAGAAAACCTTGGGGCAATACTATGACTACATGTCATTTATGCTTATAAACATGTATGTGACTACATGTCATTTATGCTTATAAATGACCGAAGAGTCTTTACAATATTCTAGAAAAATTTCAAAACATTGAAAATTTAATTTCTCTCTGAATACAATCAATACTGTATAACTTTGGTATTTTCAGAAATTATTATATCAATTTAATGCCTTAGTAGCTTTGCACTTTTTTTTTTTTTTCTCCAGACAGACAGGGTCTCACCATGTAGTTGAGACTGACCTGGAACGCACTATGTAACCCATGCTGGTCTGGAATTTACAGCTATCCTCCTGCCTCAGCCTCCCGAGTGCTGGGATTATAGGAGTGTGCCACCACTCCCAGCTTTGCACTTGTTTTAATCTTTTAAATTAGATGACAGTTCATTTTTCAATTTATTATAAAACTTCATTTCTTTTTCAAATATGTATACATATAGAAAATGTAAGGTTATTGCCATGCGCATATACGGTATTTGATTCACATAGGTACTTTAAAATATCATTTGGATGACCTGAAAACATTAAAATGTGATCCTAAGATAACCAATGATATTTTTGAAGCAATATGAATTATAAACGTTTTATAACTAATGATAAATTTGAGGGGAACTTTCATATTTTATAGTAATACATATTGAAGTAGCTAACTTTTATAATGCATTTATAGAGAAAGAAAGCAACAAACTATGATAGTAGAATATGTTACAGACTGCTTTTAGACTTCAGATATAACTTTATTAAACCAATGGTATAGACCGTATTATATCTTGTTCATTATTTTGAAAGACCTTGTTGGGTAGAGTATATGGTGTGAACTACTTCTTCTAAACTGTATTATGGTATAAAATACAATAAGGCATGATTTTAAAATAAACGAAAATCCATTTTTAATTTCAACATTGCTTCACTGAGACGACATGTTCTGAGAAACTGAATTGTTAGGCTTTTACAATTTACCTTT